GGGCCAAATATTACAAAATAACTCCTTAAGGTAAAAAAACATTGCGCATCCTCTTTGGCGCGATGTAGGTGTTGAGATTCCTTTCCTCGTGCAGCAGGCGAGTGATTTCCAGGACCTTCTTTTCACTAGCATGTAGACTGGTCTCAAGAGAATTCCGTTCTTCCTTAAGCTGGACCCAGCTCTTCTGCATCTCTTCCCAGGAGGTGGGCATGTCGGGATGTTGAATGGTGTAGGATGCTTCTCCTTCCAAGACTGGTTCTTTGATCACAGGAAGCATATGGGGATAAGGCATCACCAATTTCTGGGAGCGGGCTCGTACCCACTTGAGGTAAGGTTCCAACGGGATGGAATTCTGGTGCCCCAATGTCTTGCTGTCTATCCTACTTGGCATCCTCCAAGCTCTGATAAATTTCTGACGAAGTCCTTGAGTATCATTGTCGAAGTCGAAAACTATGTCAGGAATTAACATGTCATGAGGGCCATCCCTCCGAGCATAACCAAACTGTCTCCAAGCCAGGCATGGGTTGTAGGTAATACCTCCTTTGATTCCAAATAAAGGAACATTAGGGTACTCCCCGCAACGATCAATGATAGTGACGTCTTCCCTGGACCTAGGACACCAATGTATATCTGCATGCGTGAGAGTCATTAATCGTTGTGACCATCTCAAACCCCGCTCGTTCTTTAAAACTGTTTGTGGAAGGTGTGAAATAAACCACTTTCCCAGGAGAGGAGTGCAACACATAAGGACACCCCTTCTTCTCATGGTTCGAGTGTAACATGAGTGAAGGATGTCCCCCAGCAATGTTGGTATTGGATTTCTGGACAAGAAGATTTTGACGGTGTTGACATCTACCAATTGGTCAAAATTTGGGAACAAGACCAACCCATAGATAAGGAGTGCCACAATTTCTTCAAAGGCTTGTAGGTCCAATGAATTCCAACATTCTTGTGCCTTCTCAAACAAGAATTTTGCTAAGAATCCTTTGACACCGCTTCTGGTTTCCCAATGTCCTTTGAGGTCAGATGTCTGTAGGTGCAAGGCTTTAGCAATCTCTTCAAGCTTGGGTTCCTCTTCCGTACCGTTGTAGGGTAGTTGATCAAGGATAGGGACCTTCAGAAGTCGGGAGAACTCTTCCAATGTAGGCACCAATTGATAATCCGGAAAAGTGAAACAGTGATGCAGAGGGTCAAAGAACTGGAACAGGACCTTTATCAAATCTTCCTCAATGTTGGTGTTAACCAAGCTGATGAGTCTTCCATGTCTCTCACTGAATGAAGAACCCTCAGGAATCCTGGACATAAGTTCCTTAAGCTGAGGAGGGATCTTTACAAGGCTAATCTGAATTGTCTTTCTGCGAGCAGTTTCCATGTCCTGTAAAACAAGAACAAAGATGAAGATTCGAAACCCTTGAAATGGTTAGTCAATGCTCATGATGTTTGTATGATGTAATGATGTGATGATTAAATACACTATAAGTATTCACAAAGGCAAACATGGTAAGGCACACAAGTCACACAAACCCTTAGAGTTTAGGCCTGCATGGAGTCTGGGTATTACCCTCTTGAAGTTTGGTGGGCTCAACCTGTCCTATCAAAAGTAACCGGGTTCTAAAGGTCCCAATATCACTGGATTGCTTTCATTGTTCATCGTTTCGATTTAGCCACTGAACTGGCGACCGAAATATTCCAGGAAAGCAACCCTCAATTGAGTGTAGTATCGAGTATCAACCAACCTCGGACTGCACCAAAGTCAGTTATCTCACTACCCTAAAAAGGCCAAGATGGTTCAATTAAGGTTCCTAAGGTCAGTTGATGCTTCACGATACCACGCAGCGGCCCCGTACTCTCCTTGACTGAACTCAAGGGTTACCGGTACACACCAAAGTGCCACATCAACGTAGCAGACTGTTTCAACCGTGTCGGTATACCCCACACAGTTCCCTCACAGCCTTGTTGCTACTTTCTAAGAAGGTATCCCCAGATCCGGGTTAGGATCTATAAAACTCCGATACAAAGCCCTCAAATGTAAAAGCAAACAAAGCAAGCAATTGAAAACAAAGGTGATCTAAACCCTAAGGTTACTCCACTTTAAAAGTCTCCCCAGCAGAGTCGCCAGTTCTGTGATACGGTGGGAGAACTGACTAGTGTTTTGCGTTTGTATTCGCAAATGTTGCGGTTAGCAAGAGTCGCCACCGACTTTTTATTTTATCCTAAGGAAAGGTTAAAAAGCACAGCAAAAACCTTTTGAGATGTTTTCTTGGGTTCGGGGAGTAGATTATAGAAAGGGAAGGTATTAGCACCCTTTCTATCCATGGTTATCCATGGGCTCTTAGTTACTTGCTTAGATCACTTGCCTTTTGTTTTCAATTGTTTAAAATGGTGCTTGAGTGTGTGGGTTTGAAAATGTTTTGAAAAGATGCCAATGTGGTGGCAACCTTTGTAATGATCCATGTGGGGATGTATACAAAGATGTATATCTTTTGAAAAGGTTTTCATTTATTTTTGAAAGTTGTTTTGAAAGTGTTGTGGGTTGTGGTTTTGAAATTAGGCAAGTGTTTTGTTTTTGCAAGTTAATTCAAGTAACTAAGAGGTTATCTACTCCTAAATTTCTCAAAAGATCATTGCTATACTTTAACCCTTTTAACAAGTTTGCTCCACCATTGTATTTGGTGGGCAACCTTGTGTTAGGATGTGAAAGGGACAGGCGCGGGTCATCGTTTAGACCATAATTGTAACGACGTTAAATGTCTTTGGGCAATTTCTTTAAGGGACTTGATCATTTGTTTGTTTGTTTTGAAAAGTTTTGTCGAGGGACTATGATCATTCAAATTGTTTGCTTTGCCCAAAGAAGTTCAACATACAATATGGCCCATTTATTTGAAGGCAACAAGTGGAATACCCTAGGGGTGCAAGTGTGATTTGGGTGTCCATTTTCATGCTTGTTTATCTTGTATTAGGTCAAACTATTTTTTTTTATCGTTTTTTCGCATACAAACCCTAATTTTAACATGTTATCATTAGAAAGCAATAAAGTGCGAAATTAAAATTACTAAGCTATTACAAAACCAAATATGGGAAGGGGGGTACAAATGTTCAAATGGGGAAATGGACAAGAATTTAAATCTAAATTATTACATCAATTGAATATTTGCAATTTAAATAATGTATAAAAATGCAAGATGCACAAAAATGTTTTGTATATGTATGAAAAAATATTATTTATGTAAAAGAGAAAAGAAAATAAAAAAATGTATTATTTTTTTGGGGTATTTTGAACTTAGGGTAAAAACCCTAATTTTTAAAGAAAAAGGTATTATTTTCTAATTTAATACAACTATTTATTCATTATTTATAAAAATAAAATAAAATGAAGTGTATTATGGAAAAAGGTATTTTTATATCAAATATTAATAAAAATAAAAAATCAAGTATTTTTATATTTTGTCTTAAATATATTAATAATCACATATATATATATATATATATATATATATATATATATATTAAACCCTAAATATGTATTATACACAAAATAAATATTTATTTAATATTTTAATAAAATAAATGAAAGAGTATTTTTTGTGTGAAATATTTTCAGAAAATAAATAAAAATAAAAATGTATTTACACCATTTTTCTATTTTTATTCTAATAATGGTATATATATATATATATTTATGTACAAACAAAGAAAATAAACAAATAAGTATGCAATAAATGCAAAAAATGATGGAAAAAATATTTTTAATTTTTAAATGCCATGAGAAAAAATAAACAAAGTTAATCAAAAAAGAAAAAGTCAAAAATGTTAAGAAATGAACAAATGGGCTCAGGGGGGTGTGAATCAAAAAAGGTGGTGTGAAAAGTGAAATAACACAGGCCCAACCCACTGATCATTGTCTTCAACCTCCAGCTTCAAACATTTGAAAAACGCGCGCCCCTGTTCCTCAATGTCTAACTCCTGATTCTTGGCTTTTCAGCAAAAACTCATAACACAAGAAATGTTCAGCATGAAGAGACGGTTTCAACCATATAAATAACTTGACCTATCTCTCTAAGATGAGGGAGAATTTCTCCTCCCCCAATTTCTGACCTAACTTTTCATCAATGTTCAGACATGAAATTCTCTAAGCACACAAAACATAAATGAAATCTAATCATATGAGCATGTTCAGGGCTATGATTGTGACATGTTTTCTTCAAAAACCTAAAGCTAACAATGCCTAATAAGAGAGATAGAACTCCATGAATATACCTGTTCAGTTGGAATCGAGTTTGGCAATGGAGGATGTTTCAGAGTGAAATGATGACTTGTACAGCTTCCTTGAAGTGTAAGGATGCTTTTCCAATTCCTACTTTGTCTTGAAACTCCCTGAATCGAGCTAGTGAACTCCAACTGCAAAACAGAAAATTAAAAATGGTGAAGTGGCTTGGAGGTGTTACAGGTCTGATTTTAGGACATGGTTAGCTTGCATATGTTGTAGGGAAGGTAGAGGAAAAGGTTTGGATCAAAGTGCTCGAAGGGATTGGGAGTTTGCACTCAAACTGCAGGGGCTCCCCTGTTTGTGCAGTTTTGAGGTGATTAGAGCAATGGGAGTGTTTCAGATGGCAAGGGCTCGTGTGTTAGCTTGGATTTTGTCTATGGAATGTGTTTGATAGCTTTTGTGTTGTGTGTCTAAGCTGAGATGAGAGATAGCATAAGTTATGGACTTTTCTTCTATCTTAAGCAACAAAAGCAAGTTGGTTGTTTTAGGTTAGTAGGGGGCCTCCTAATGTGCTGCATAAGCCTCTCTTGATCAGTGTGTTATGCACATAATCTTGTGCAAAGCAGATCTTTCATGTACTTGTTGGATTACAAACTTGACATAAAGCTAAACTTTTCAAAAATGGAAATTTCACTTTATCTAGTTTAGGATTAAACCATTATGCAATGTTAGAACACAAAGAACATGACCTTAACACATTGAATATGCATTAAATTATTGAGTATGAAATGGTTCAAGGACCTGTAATCAAGCATAAAGCAAACTGATTTCAAATTGGCAAGATTATGAACATGTCTTGATGAAGAACAAAAGTGAATTTTTGCCAACTTGTGAAATTCGAATCTCTCAAGTTATGAGGTTGTTTGATGAGTTCTTGGACATTTTGGAAAGCTTGGAATGTGTACTACAATCCATCTTTGAAATGCAAATCAAAATTCCAAGTGGAAGGGTATGAAAAGTGGCCTTGAAGTGGGATAGAAAACCTTGTCAAAATAGGTTAAATTTCACTAAGTTAAAAATGGTTTAGTGCCCTTATTCAAAAAATTATAACTTGAGATACAAGCTTCAAATGAGAAAACTTTGTGAATCAAAGTTGTAGATTATGCAACAAGCTACAACTTTCATGTTTTGACTTTTGTTTGAATCCAAATGGATCATGGTGAAAAGATGGGGCAAAGTTGGGAAAAAATTAGGGTTTTTCATAACTTAGAAAAATTCTAAGTTATGAAAAATTCTATTTTCAAACCCTAATTTGCATTTTGTGATTTCTTGGTGAACAAGTTTCATGATTTTGCAAGTTTTGATGAAAAATGAATCTTGACTCTTGATTTTGACCAAAAAGTCAAAGTTTGACTTTCCAGTATACAGTCAAAATTGATCAATTGACTGGGAAATTCAACTGTCAATCTTGTGTACTTGGGATCTTTTGAGCTTGATGAACATGTCAAGATAATTCCATTGAGTCCTTGAGTCCATATGTGAGCTTGGTTTACCATTGGCTAGGTCAAACAGTCAAAAATTGCCTTTGTGCAGTCAAAACCCTAAAAATGACCATTTTGCCCTTTTGATGATCTGATCAAATTTCTTGGGGAATTGTGATCCAAACTTGATCAAATGGTCCATATGAGTTCATAATGTTGATGTGGATCAAATTTCATGAGGTTTGACTGTCAATTGGCCACAGTTGACTTTTTCCCAATACAGCTGATTTCTAGGTCAACTGTCCAATTGACTGGGTAAAACTTGGAATCAAGACTTGAAACTTGGTATAGGTAAACTTGGGAGTCCAACATGAAGCATGAAAGTCATCTTAGGCATTTTAGGTCAAAACATCTTTAGGCAAACACAAACCCTAATTTGAGCCCACAGTGCAAGGAGAAGTCTTGAGCAGAGGGAACCCTAACTGGATCTTGATCTTCAAAGGTATTGTGATGAGAAAATGTTGAGGAAATGGGAGGGCAAATTTTGGGGTACAACACCCTCTATGAAAGGTCTATGTGAAGATGCAAGATGTGAAGATGTGTCAATTATTACCATTTCCAACAATCCTCCCAGGGTCTCCTCCAAAAGACCTGTCAGGATCACATCAACTCCTAAGATTGCTCCTTTAATTATCACCTTTCCAGGGCCCATACCATATTCCTCCGACAAAGTTGTTCCTTAGAATTATGGAGCTGACGTTTATTATCATGGCGTCAAGCAGGACCTCTTGGCCATTAAGAATGAAGTTACTGAAGATATTGATCCTAACATCGGCAATATTGTTGGGACCAGTAAAATTACCAGAAGCGGAAGGATTTTCTCTCCTGAAATCTCTCCAAAGATTGTTTCCACTCCTTCAGTTATTCCTGCTAATACTTCCGTTATTATTCCTGCTAATGAGTCGGCTGAGACTCGGGGCAAAGAAGTATTGGTCGAGCCTGCCCGGACGGAGGCACCTAAAGAAACCATTCCTGAAGCCTCTAAAAAAGAAATGGAGGAAATTTTAAAAATCATACGAAAGAGTGATTACAATGTTGTGGAACAATTGGGATAGACCCCCTCAAAGATTTCAATGTTGGCCTTATTGTTGTGCTTTGAAGCCCATGCTAAGGCTTTGGTGAAGTTCCTGAAGTCTGCTCATGTGCCGCAAGAGACTTTTTCCGACCAATTCGAGAACTGTGTTGGTAGTCTGACTGATGACAATGGGCTTGGTTTCTCTGATACTGATTTGACCTCTAAAGGAAGAAAGCATAATGATGCCCTGCATGTCTCTATTAAGTGCAAGGGCACTACCCTGGCTCATGTTCTAGTTGATACGGGTTCGTTGCTAAATGTTCTACCCAAGGGTGCTTTAGACAGATTGGACTGTGAAATACTGACTTTGAAGCCTAGTAATATTGTGGTAAGGGCTTTTGATGGTTCCAAGAGAATGGTGCACAGGGAGGTGGACATTCCTATTAAAGTTGGTTCCCAAGCTTTTGACTCCACTTTCTATGTGATAGACATTCGCCCGTCTTACTCTTGTTTGTTGGGATGCCCTTGGATTCATGGGGTAGGTGGTGTCACTTCCACCATGCATCAGATGTTAAAGTATCCAGTTAATGGAAATATTGTTACAGTCCATGGAGAAGAAGAGTATATGGTGAGCCATCTGAACTCTTTCCGATATCTCGAGATGGACGACGAGTACATTGAGACCCTCTGCCAGAATTTTGAAGAGGTTCCTCGGATAATTGCTGTTACCAAAGCTGCTATCGCTGTTCCAGAGATTACTAGACCTTCACTGAAGATGGCTTCTCTAATCACCATCGCCATATTGAACCCCATATTGAATCCATCCGACACCCGGACTCTTATTAAACATGACTCCCTAAATCGATGTTGGAAATGATTCATAAAACCACTTTTCACCTCGACCATATTATCAATCCACCCATTGGTGAAATTAATCCCTAAAATCGAATTCCTTCTAAATCGTTGCTTCATGAATCTATGAAAGAATCTGGAGTTAGAATCATCCTCCTTAAGCCAACGAAACCCCGCCTTTTGACAAAGAAAACTCTCTTTCTCCCCAATAGAACTCCAAACCTTCTTAGAAGCCAAATACCATTTAGAAACCAAGGCCTCAACATCCACCATACTATCACAAACCTCTTTAAAGTCCAAGGTATTAAGATATTTAACTGCTTCATCCACCACCCAATTAAGATGACCAAAGACTTCGTAATTACATTTTCTCAAATGACTCCGAAGCAATCTCAATTTCTCCTTAAGCACAAAAGAATCATTACCATCAAACCTCATATCATTCCAACATTTATCAACAAAGGGGAAAAAGTCAACATGTTTCGTCCAACCATTGAAAAATTTGAACGACTTAGGACCCCAATCAACACATCCTCTCTTTATCCAAATATGATAATGGTCAGAAAGATCTTTATCCCCAACAACCAGACCAATGATCTTCCAAGCTTCCACTAACCCTTAGGAGATCAAAAATCTATAATCATAGATTTTCCATCCAAACTAAACCAAGTGTACTTATTACCAACCAAAGAAGGGTCCACAACCTCAAAAGCATCAATAAAACAACAAAAATCTCCATTTCCACCCTATTATGGAACAACGAAGAACCATTTCTCTCCCCCCACCTTCTTCACCGCATTGAAATCGCCCGTTATGCACCACTCTCCCCTAACAAACTTATATTTACAATCTAAAATACCTTCCCACAACAAACATTTGTTACGAAGAAACCAAGAGGAGTAAACATTCACCAAATATAAATTAACACCATTCCAGCTAACATTAATCCCAACGAAACCTTCACCAAAAACACTATAAAAGAAACTTTATCCCCAAAGCTGAAACTTTATCCCATATCCTCGAAGCCACCTCCTTAAGTTCTTTAGCCCAAAACCTTCTATTACCCTGCACCAGTCCAGAGTCCGAAATTTCTTCACACGCCAATTCTCCAAAAAAGTAATTCGTTGGCAAAGATGGAAAATTCTAACGTCACGAAATCGAAGAAGAAGAAGTCGTTGTGGCATAAATGGATGGCGGCGCAGAGGAAAAAAGTAAGATTGAGAAACTTCAATATTGTTAGTGTCCTTCTTCTGCCTCTGCAAATATGACGAGAAGAGATCATTTTGTTCCTTACCAAAGGAATTCTCAATACCCAGTGAACATGGAACCTTATCCACTGAACAGACAACATTCAATCTACGGTCAGACAAAAATATTGATGCACCTTTATTAGATCTTGGGCCATCAGAAATGTCTTTAATTCTTTGGGCCCAACCTTTAAAATGGTCGAATCAAATTTTCCCAGGCACACATAGGACGATCAGCCTCAAAAGGAGAAATTTCTTTGCCCAACGGAAATTAATTGAGTCTGATATTAAGCATAAATTTATCCATTTAAATATATGAGTTTGAATGAATATTTAACAAGTTGCGTTAGATTAGTTATCAAATAACTCAACTCTTTTACACTCTGTTGGAGCTTCAAAACTTTGTCCAAACCTACAAGAATATAATAATACTTTAGCAAATAACAATGATAACCAACTATTAAACAACCTTAAACAATAATAATAACACTTTGTGCAAAGAATTAGACAACGAACCAAACTCAAGCTTAAGGAATAGAGATGAAAATAAGTTAGGCGGAATTAGACTTTTTCGACTCTAAATGTGAATTGCTAACAATATTAAAGTTTAAGTCTCGGTTGTAGTCTGCATTAAGTTTATTTTAAAGCTTGAATCTAACATTTTTAAATGTTTGATTGATCTGTTAGTCCATTTAAAAACTTATTTATCTAAGTATATGTAAATAAACAATTCAAGTAATGTTCATATAGACTTAAAAACTAAAATATCAATGATATTAAAAGTTTATTTGCATTATCTTATCTAATCTCACGTAGTTTTATAAATTTTGTGAGGCTATTTGTTTATAAAAACTTATGAAAATAACTTATGATGACATTGTTCATATGATATTGTATATCTATTTTCATAAGTTTTTCAAGATAACTACATTTCATTTTTATATTTTAATTCAAAGTATACGATACAATATACAAATAATAACAAAATAATTTATATGAATTTAAATTGGTTGATCTGATAAATTTATAAGGCTTTTTATGGTATGAGGCATAGCCTTTTTTAAAACTAAATAAACTTATAAAAAATCTTAGGTCTTTTCTATTTAAAAAAAAGTATGGCCTAGTATGTGCTAACTAGGTCGTAGCTCATGTTGTGGATCTATGTGGTTGCATATATGAAGAAGATGATCCTATTGACGATCTTCCTAATATTTTTATGATGACAATACCAATGATTGCTGAAGTCAGGAGTAATAACTTTCTAACTCTCTGATGATAGTGATTAACTTGAAGACATATCAAGCCTCATCATGTAGGAGACTCAAGGTTATATTAAAGTGCTTATATAATCAGTGTATATGACAAAGGAACTTAAAATCCTTATATTTGTGAAAGAGAGAAAATGTGAAAGCTCGTCTGGTCGTGTCTGTATGAGTGATCAGAGTTTTGTAAAAGTAGGAGAGTAACTCCAACTATACTAACTAAGGTAACTTACACACACACACACACACACACACACACACCCCTAAAACATTTTTAAAACCTTATTTTACATTACAAAACACCTAAAAATATTTTTAAGCCCTATCCAGTTAATTAGGAGACTGTTAGCTTTATTAGAAGAAATTTTTGACCTACCTAATTTATTAGACCTTGTGATATGGTGGAAGAACCGACTGTTATAATACTGGTTTTGCATTTTTTGTTCACAAATGTCGAGGTAAGCAAGAGTCGCCACCGTCTTTTCTTTTATCCAACAAAGGAAAGGGTGAAAAGAACAGGAAAATACGTTTTCGAGATGTTTTCTGAGTAAGGGGGGTAGATTATGGAAAGGGAAGGTGTTAGCACCATTTCCATCTGTGGTTTTCCATGGCCTCTTAGAGGTTTGCTCATTTTGAAATACCTTTGTGCTTTGTGTGTTTGAAAATATTTTGAAAACGCCTTAGTACGGCGAACTTTGTAATGTTTCTCGTGATAGTGAAGAAAATATACAAAGTGTTTGAAAATGTCTTTTGAAATAGTAGTATTTGTGTGTAAGTGCAAAAATAGTTTGAGCAAACTTCTAAAAACTATCTACTTTTGTACTCGGAAAGGTTGTTCTTTTCCTCTTTTCCTTTAGACAGTGTTATCCTACTATTAGTGAGTAGGCAGCCCTATCGTTGGATGTTGAGGGACAATCGAAGGGACGTTACAGTAACGAAGGTAACTTATGGAGATGCTTTAGCAATTCTGTTTTACGTATTAGATCAATTACCGAGAAGGAAACTGTAGGGTCATCGAGGGACTATGATCTTTTGATTTTATGGGTCTTTGCTAAAGCATTCCTGCCCCATGACTGTTTTTTAAAGGCAACCAAAGTGGGCGTACCTTAGAGGTGTATATGTGCAAGTGTGTTCAATTCAGTTATTTTTTGTCTTTTTGTTAAGTTAGATAATGTTTATTTTCAATCTTTCCATACAATCCTAGCTACTAACAGTAATATTGTACAGGAAATGTAAAGTACGGAAAATAAAAAGCAGAAGCATAAACCCTAAACTATTACAATGCTTTGGGACAATTACATAAAAAATGCAAGAAACTAAAAGTGCGGAATTTTAAATCTAAAGTTATTACAATTGTGAGCAGTTATAATAAAATAAATGCACACGAATATGAAAATAATGTCTAAAAATCCTAAGAATAAAATCTTTTTGTTGTTTTATTTTATTTTGGGAAAATGATCTAAATCTTCTTTAATTTTAGTTTTGAGAAAATGTTAAGATAATTAAATGATTAATTAACAAAATTAATTTAATAGAAAAAACTAGCCTAATGTTTTTGTGGTTTTTTTTTATTGATTTTATGTTGATTAAAAAAAAGAAATAAAATAGTCAAACCAAGGATGAAATCGAAGGATCTGGAAATAAATCAAGAAAAGTGTGATTGGAGGCCTGGATCGAAAGAGGCTTGGGATGTCTTTTGATTCAGTGAAGAGGCTTGATCGAAGGTGTATGAGGGGCTGCACTTTAGGGGTGTTCGATCTGGATATGTCATCCTTTGATCTGGGAACCCTGGATCCAGTTTGAAGCTGAGCTGCTTCGAAGCTCTAAACAAGATTCTGAGAAGATATTTCTTGCAAAACGAAACAAATGTTAGAGATCTAGGGGGACTTTACCCCCCTGATTCGAATCTCCTCCCAATTCGAATCCTTCCTCAATTTGAATCTGCTGAGTCTGGGTCCTATGTTTGGGTTTGTTTTGTCCCAAGATTCGAAGGAAAAACCTAGATCGTGCCCCAGCAATGGCACGATCCCATCTCTATGATTTAGCTTACATGCAGCATAATAAGTAATAACAAGAACATATATGGAATGTGTATTTAAATGTCATGAAGGTGCAATTTTGGTTTTGCAAACCCTTACCAATCGAAGATGTATGATCTGTGACTCTGGGTGTGGAGATGTTTGCTTAGGAGTTGGGGTGGACTCCTGGATGAGGGGACCTGCAAAAGGTGTTTCGATTGGGAGGCTTTTGGGATTTTTGAGAAGCACGTGTGTGTAGTCTCTTCGTGTGCAGTATGTATGCGTGTTCATCCCCTTTTATCCTCTCTTTCGTCCCCATTGGCACTATATCCTTGGCCTTGTATTTATAAGAGTATGAGGGTGCATAGTAACGGCAAGAGACAACCATTTAAACAGGCCTTTAAAGCCATGAGACAAGAATCATACATATTAAAAGCATTCCTTTTTGAAACATTCATGTCTCTTTGGAAATCTTGGATGAACCTAGACACTTGACTCCTTCAAACACCCTCCAGTGTTTCTCTTCGATTAGCCTATGAGTTGCCTCCTTCGAATGGACTTCTTATGCACCCTTCGAATGGGACCTTTGAATGCATCTTCAAATGGACTTCTTATGCACCCTTCGAATGGGCCTTCTGAATACCTCTTTGAATGGACCTTTACATGTTCCCTTCAAATGGGCCTTCTGAATACCTCTTCGAATGAACCTTTACATGTGCTTCGAACGAGTCATTATTACTTCCTTCGAATGGCTTTCTTTTCCAGCTTCAAAGTCCAATTCGAATCTATTCAGAACATTCCCTATTAGACAACTTCGACCAGCCCTTGGCCTTGTAATGAGTCTAAGTTCTGATTCGAAGTGTTCAGAACTTCCTTCATCAGAGCATCTTAGATTAAGATAAGCTCTGCACTGAAATGCCATTTGAAGGTCATTTCATTCTGATGTTCTGATTAAGGGAAACTCTGAAGTTCCAGTCGAAGGACACTCTGAAGTTCCAGTCGAAGTACCTTTCATAATGCCAACCAAATGGCCTTTGTTGATGAGAATCGAAAGGTGTGATATGGTGGCAGAACCGACTATTTTGGAAAATGCTGGTTTACGTTTTGCGTTTGTGTTTGCAAAATGTCGCGGTAAGCAAGAGTCGCCACCAACTTTTATTTTATCCAACTGGAAAGGGCAAAAGCACAGAAAAATTCCTTTTTTGAGATTTTGATTATGGAGGTAGATTATAGAAAGGGAAGGTATTAGCACCCTTTCTATCCGTAGTTTTCTACGGGCTCTTAGGTACTTGCTCATCATTTAAAAAAAATTGCTTGTGTGTGTTTGTTTTGAAAAGTTTTTGTTTTACTTCGTTTTAACCCTTGTATCAGTCCTCAAGAGTGTTACGAAGTGTTTTGAAAACTTTGTTTGAAAAGAGTGTAAGTGTGAAAAAAATCTATTTTGAGCAAGTACCTACTAGCATCTACCTACTCGAAAAAAGAATGTTTTTGTTCTTGTTTCCTTTAGACAATGCTATCCTACTATTAAGGAGTAGGTAACACCGTCATTGGAGTTGCAAGGGTCAATTCGAAAGGGACGTACGATCACTAAAGCAATGTTAGGACGTCTTAGTAATAACCCTAGTGTCTTAAGATCATATTCGAGGCAACATTTCTG